CAAGTGCAAAACACCAACACAAAAAAAAAGTGCACTTACGGGTGTGCTTTAGTCCACCCCCCGAAGTGGTAGGAAATGTATCCTGATCCCCTGAGGCGCAAGGCTCCTGAGGCTTCCACATGGTCCACCTAGCCAAAAGGTCTGGCAGACCCCTTTCCTTGTGGCTAGCCGAAGCCAGCCACCTGTAGACTCTCCCAAACAGAGACCCCCCCCCCCAGGAACAGGGGAGGAAGGAGCCAAAAGTCTACATATCCTCCCTCTAGACTTAAGGCATAGTCGGCAGGACCGAGGACCCACACCCTACCATCCGTGGGAAAAAAAAACACACAAATCAGTGAAAGTGACACAAATGTGGGAGAAAAATAAATATATAAGTAAAAATAAAAAAAGTGGCCATGCATTTGTGCACTGGCTAGGCCCTGAGGCCTGTAGCATAAAAAATTGCCCTGGACTTAACCAAAAGGCCTAGCACTAAAAGGCGCAGTGCAGAAAAAGTTTTTGAACAGTGATCATGCGTCTTTTCACACATGGGATCCCACCCTCCATGTGTTACTAATAGCACCCCTGAGACGACCACTCAGGGGACACTGCTCCGCAGACTTTTTGCGCACCTCTGGCCAGACAAGGTAGATCCATTCAGATCAGGAGGAACTGGGCTCCTCCAGTTTTCCCAGGGGAATTACTCCCAGGCCCCAACTGCCTGTGGGAACCACGGATTCTGTTGCAGCCAGTACTATACAGCCAAACATCCTCGCCAAGAAGCAAGAATGACAGCAGAGCACTTAGGGGTGTGCTTTAGTCGACCCCCTGAAGGGGTAGGACCTCTATCCTGATCCCCCAGGGTGCAAGGCTCCTGAGGTTTCCACATGGTCCACCACCAAGAAAAATTGTCACTAATTGTCACTAAGACCAGGCACAAGCACACTGACCTAAGCCAGAAACACCAATTTCTTATTTTTTTTCTTTCCCCCATATGCCATACTCCTTTTGTTGTTGTTGCACATTAGGGAGAGTGTCCTGATCCAATTGCAAAGGATCATGGTCAACCTAATTTTCATAATCCTTTCCTTGGCTCCACCCTCAAATTAAAAAAAGCTAATTTGTCTGACACATTTCCCACCTACTTTTTCCCACATGCCCGCTCGGTTTGTTGGATCGGACATGCACTGATCCAACAGACTTATTGTAACCGGGCTTTTTTGTAGCATTTGCACAGGGTATGTAAACTTTTGATCTGGGCCATTTGGGTGATTTCTGTTATTATGATTTAAAAAAGGAGCCAAACAACTATGTGATAATAAATGGATTCATGTGATCACTATCCATAAATAAAAGACAGTTTTTTGGCATGATCAGTCATATTTTCAACATCAATGCCAAAATTTCGCACATTTGAGTACAACTGTACATTGTATATGTGAGATTCATTCTGGATATGTGTTGCAGCCCTTTTGTCCATAATGTACTACAAACCCCAATGTGCCCACAGCTTGCTGAGACTTGTGGTTCCTCCTCAGCAGGACGCCTGCAGGATGTAGAGCCCCCATATTATCTCAGATTGTGATACACTTACACACTGTTCTGTATTCTGGTCATGTGAAGCTTCAATCACTCTTACTCCTGAAATAGAATTGTGTCTCACATTGCTCACCCCCACCCCCATCATCTATCATTACTCCACTGGCCATGTGATGAGTATTATAATGATATTTTTAGCAGATTTTTGCAGGGGGACTGTGACCTGGGACATGGGATCATTTTAGATGACTGGAACCTTCATGTGAACTCCGTACACAAATAATATCCACTGGTGGCATTTGATCATGGCGAAGTTTTCATGCTGCTAGGCAGTTGTAAAATATGATCAATATGTTATTAGTTCTGCAGATTCTCTGCGCCTATGTGTGATTGTGTTGTGTTATTGGAGGGATAGAAAATAAATGGAATATTGAGATTTCAGCAATCCGATTAGGAAAGCGTTGAATCTTAAAGTGAGGGACTCCACCTCTGCCCTCCGTATAATACAAAAATCTGAGCCGCTTTGCAGTGCGCGCCGTCATTCCAAGACCGAGCGCTCAGCGGAGGCAGTGCTTTCATTTTGTAATGTAACCTTTCATGGGAGAAGCATGGAGTCTTCCATGGCTGATGTTTTCTCATGAAAAGGCTAGTTGATTAGGCAGTTGGATTAGAAAGTGAAAAATCCTGATCTGTCTACTGTATAGGTTCCAGGTCAGTAGATCAGAAATTACTAAAGCCATTCAATTAGCATGACAACCAGGCATCAAGCGCTTTTCTGGAGAGAACCCAACAATGGCAAACTGTCCATACAGCTTAAAGCTGAACTTTGGGAATTACACATAACCTACCCTTGCAGTGGTCCCTCTGGTCCCATATTACAAGGGTTAAATGCTCATTAGGTCTACGGGTAATACCTTATTCCTCATCCTGCCAGACCTCGATCATCTGTGCAACCATTCCCCCAAAACCTCTTATCTAATATAGCACCGTCTTAGATAGGTGCTAGGTTGGGTAAATTTAGTTCCTTAGCTCTCCTGGAATCAGTGAATACCCTGGTCTGCTCTGAGTTTCACTGGTTGTGGATTTGGCTGCCTCCCCTGGCTTCTGGATGGTTCTGGAAAGTAGTGGGCTGGGACAGTCAAATCTACACTATGGATATTTATGTGGTTCCAGCCAATCCCTGTGGAAGGGTGCCCAGTGGGTGGCTACGAGAGGGCATACATAGTTTGAGGATTGGGGCAGAAGGGTTCTTTGTCCAGAAGGAGAAGATCCCTTCTGGGCAGTCCAACTGTGCTTCTTTACTTGCACATCAAGGTCCCAGCTATGCTAGCTGGGGGGTCTCATTCTGCTGAAATTTACTGGAGCAGACGGAGGGATTTCCTTTTGGGGATCTGGTCTGAAGAATTATTGGGAGAAATGTCTGGTTGATATTGGAAGGAGATATCCAACTATCCAGATGCATTTGTGAGTACAGACCGGTGTGTAAGATCCCAGTGACTGTGTTCTGCTATGCATCTTGCATCAGTCAGCTTGTACTAATAGTGAACATTATTCACGGTGTCCCAGTGTAGCTCGGCCCATCATTTGCTGCTGCAAGGACTGTGCTAAGAATCTTCAGGAGGAAGATAGGTGCCCTCAAGTTACTACTTAACGTTACTTAAATATCCCATGGTTGCCCTGCACCCATCCAAGCAGCAGCATATTTACAGTGAGGCAAACAAGCCAATTTTCAGGTGGGGGGGGGCACCACCCCCACAAGAAGTAAAGAATGGGGACCTGGTCAGCACCGGAGAAGGCTGCGTGCTTCTGGAAGGTGCAGGGATGGCCAGCTCATCTTTCATTGCTTATTTAAAGGTTAGTTGGGTGAATCTGGTGGTCACGGTGGGGGGGTGGCGTTGGGGGGGGATGTATGTTGGCCGGTGCCGAGTGGGGGCAACATGTGTATAGGGGGAGGATTGCGGTGATGGGCTGTGATGACTGCGAGGGGGGGAGTTGCTGACAGGGGGATTCTGGTGGAATAGGGGACGCCCAATGTTAGTGTTGCGTATGGCAGCACATGAACTAAATACAGCACTGCATCCAAGTTCAAGTTTTCAATAAAGCATCAGAAAAGGATACCCCCAGATTAATCATTGAGCCGGAAGAGTGATTGAGACTGTGTGCCTTGCTGTTAGTGTACTTATTGGGGAAAAAAACTTCGGGACCAAATCAGCGGGCTCTTTCAGGAGTGGGCACTACACTAAGGCTTGACTGGTTGTTGCGCACTGATATCACATACAATGCAGGGCCAATAGCCCTGCATTGTATATGAGGACAGAGAGGACTTGTTGGAACGTGCCAGAGCAAGGAACAAGGTACCTATTACAGCTTAGTCCTTTACCCATTAGTCCTAACAAACACTAAAGTGGTTGTAAAGGCTAAAGGTTTTTTACCTTCATACATTCTATGCATGAAGGTAAAAACCATCTGTGTGCAGAGAAGAGAGAGGGGGCGTGGTCGAGCCACAGCTCTGTATGTGAATGGATACGGGAGCAAGCCTGCTTGGGTGCCTCCATAGCAAGCTGCTTGCTCTGGGGACACTAGGCAGAAGGGAGGAGCCTGGACCGCTCGAGGGGAACCCAAAAAGATGAGGATGTTATGTGCAAAACCACTGCACAGAGCAGGTAAGTATGACATGTTGGTTATTTATTTTTTTCCTTTAAATACATTTAAAATGTATTTATGGTCAGAATGTGAAATCCTGTATTCATTTCCACATTCCAATTATTTCTAGCCTACTTCTTTTACTCTGAACCATCCTGAAGTTTGTATACTTGTGATCCCACACACTTAGTTCCTTGAATTCTGTGACATGGAGTCACTATGCACTTTGAGTAGTGTCGCACATTTCACAGAGCCCGCCTTCTGACCTACAGAGGTGCTGGGAGGAGGAGTTTCAGGAGGCGGAGTCCATACAGGAATCACTGCTTCTAGGCAGCAAGGTACTATGAGATATGTAGTCCTTAGAAGTGGATTAGAAACTGCAAAACATGCAGGTAATCCTGGAAGTTGTAGAAAGAGGCGATCAGCAGACAGGCAGCACTCACAACATGAAAGGAGATTTTTCAAGTAGGCTTCTATTGAATTGTCAATAATAACTATTGTTTGTATTGCTGTTGCAATGCTGATGTTATAAAATGAAAGTGAATGCTGCGACCACAGATCTCCTTTAAACTAGCAGTGCATTGGCCACAGCAAGGGTAGTTTTTGTGTTGGGTTTTTTTTCCCCGAAGTTCAGCTTTAAGAGAACCTGTTGCTTTGGCCTTCATTGGCAGAGTTCCGATTCACTTTAAGGTGAGTGCATTTCCCATTTTACAAATGGTCCTTTATGGTTTGAAGTAATAAAAACATTTACTTAGATTTTCTCCAACACAGTCCAGGGGTTGGGCAATGTCTGCGCTTTACATCATGTTTCAATAACCATTCTATCTTTTTATCTGCAGATGGGAAATGGCTCAAACACGTCAGAATTTCACTCTTCCATATCAAAAACCAATGACATCATCTTAGGAGTGATCTACACCCTGTTCGGTAACTGTTCTACTATTCAGCATGATGTATCTGAGGATGTGAGGGTTGAGGAGTTCTAAGGCAGTAGGGGGGTAACACTGCACTATTGATTGAAGAAAATGGCATGTCCAAGTTTTTAGGACCATCAGGGTTTGCATGGGATTTTTTTTTTCTCTTTGCTTTCCTCCCACAATTCAAACATGTAAAACTAGGTAGGTTTGTTGGCTTCTGACCCTCTCAGACCTAGGATGCGTGAATTGAGCTGGGGGTTCGGAGACTGGTGTGCCTGCTTACTCCAGAAGCTTTTTACTGCTACTTAAATATGGCTTCAGCTTTTTATTTCATCCCAATGTCATGCATATTAATTAGAGCAGAGCTTCTTGCTTGATAATCCTGAATGACGGAGTTGGGGAAATTTTTTATTTTTTTTAGTCTACATGATAATAAACATACCGCCTGCTCGGTGTTGACTACAGCGGAGCAACCAAGGTAAACAGGCCAGCTTTTCCTGACACCCCTCCTCTCCTGTCTGGATGTGTCTCCGTGGTGTGTTCAGGTGTCAGTCAGTTCGGCCTGGGCTTGTGGAGGAAGACAGCTGGAAAATCCACTGCTCCACGACTCCTGACACATTATAATCTCTGGGCTCTAACGGGCTGACTTCAGATGTCCTTTGAGGGAGCTGTCACAAATTAAACAAAATCAACATGTTCTGAAGCAGAACCAGACAATGCAGGCACCTACAAACTAGCGAATCTTCCAGAACAGCCTGGTGTCTGTGGCAGATAGGGATAAGCAAAATCGAGAGGTTTTGTTTCCTAGATTTTTCAAAATCTGGAGATTTTGAATTGATATCACCATTTTGGTGACATCCATTAAGGTCAATGGGGAAATGGAAATTAAAAGCGACTCTGCTGATAAACTTGAAATGAAAAGTTTCCTGCAAAGGAGAAAGTAAACACAAACCTCTCTCGCCGAACACCATTCCAATCCTGAGGACCTGCCCCTGGAAGTCTCTACCAAAAGGAACACTTCCAGAGAAAGCTGGTCTCCTGTGTTCCCCTCTGCACTCATTGGTTACTCCAGCCAGTCTCCACCTCACTACAGTGCAAAGTAATGATGTGGAGGTTAGTGGGAGGAGCCAGTATGTGCTGCGAGGCACACAGGCGATTGACACTCCCAGAAGTGTCAGTTTTTTGCACAGACCCTTGCGGGGTGATTGCTCCTCCTCTCTTTCCTCCCTACTTCCTTTCACTTCCCTTGCCTCCCCTCCCCCCTTTTTTCCCCCTTCCCTTTTTCCCCCCTTCCCAATCCCAACTCCTCCCTTTTCTGTCTTGTCAGTTTTGCGCCTTATTTATCCACCCCATTCTTTATTCTTCCCTCTTTATCCTTGTCATCGTTCACAATCACTATTTCTTAGGACCCTCTCTCTTTTTCTGACAGCCAGTGCACCTCACCTCTTTACACATTTTCTAACCTGCTCCTGTGTACTATCCTGCTTTTCCACCTCCTTGTGTTGTCCCCTGGCCACCATACTCTGACATTGGATTCTTGGCCTTCTACACTCCTTTGGGCACTCTGGCGTCATTAATTTCTGTGGCCCCGGCAGCTGGGCTGCTCAGTGTCAGCTGTTGCCAATGTGCGGCTGGCCACATTACACATGTGAATGCCGGGTCCTTATTGGTTGATCCAAAGCGGTGTCCACACATTTCCCAAGCAACAGGATGTGAGTCCTATAGGAGGATCTCACACTTTCTCTATCACATGTATCTGATGGATGGGTCTGATCAGGCAGTGTACTACAGCGTCATCTGTTGCCATGGTTTGGTTGACCACATTGCACATGTGCATGCCAGGTCCCTATCGGTTGATCCAAAGTGGTGTCCACACATTTGCCTGGCAACGGGATGCGTGTCCTGCAGGAGGATCTCACATTTCCCCTATCAGACATATCTGAAGGATGGGTCTGATCAGGCAGTGTGCTAAATTGTCACCCGTTGTCATGGTGCAGCTGGTCACTTTGCGCATGTGCATGCCAGGTCCCTATTGGTTGATCCAAAGTGATGTCCACACATTTTTACAGCAAAGGGTTTCAAGTCCTGAAGGAGGTTCTCATGCTTCCCCAATCGGACATATCTGAAGGATGGGTCTGATCAGGCAGTGTGCTACATTGTCACCCGTTGCCATTGTGCGGCTGGCCATATTACACATGTGCATACCGGGTCCCTACTAGTTGATCTAAAGTGGGGTCCACACATTTACCAAGCAACAGGATGTGAGTCCTACAGGAGGATCTCACGCTTTCTCTATCACATGTATCTGATGGATGGGTCTGATCAGGCAGTGTGCTACAGCGCCATCTGTTGCCATGGTGTAGGTGGCCAAATTGCGCATGTGCATGCCAGGTCCCTCTGATGTTTGTGCTTGCTGTATTTACTACCCAGTATTCACAGGATAATAAATATTAATTGAGGCGGTTGATTTACTAAAGGCAAATAGACTGTGCACTTTATAAAGTGCAGTTGCTCCAGAGCTTAATAAATGAGCAGAAGCTCTACTGACATCCACCATCCAATCATGCAAACAAAAAAGCAGTTTTTTTTTTTTTTTCTTGCATGTGATTGGGTATTCTTTGCAAAGTAAAGCCTTACCTCGTTTTCTAAGCTCTGGAGCAACTGCACTTGCAAAGTGCACAGTCTACTTGTCTTTAGAAAATTAACCCCAATGCTTCGATGTAGTTCTAAAGATATTTTCTTGCTACAGCACCTACTTGCTTCAAGCTATTTCCAGGAATGTCTGCGATGGGAACATTTTACGTGCTGTGCATTGAAAGCTAAGCAATTAGTTTCTTCTTTGCAGGAAGATCGGTCGTTTTAGTTTTTGTGACAAAATCACTGTAAGTTTGTTTTTGTTGGATTTTAAGGGTGAGATGGGCTTTAAAGGGCTCCTGAAGATAACAGAATCTCATTTCATCTAATTTGGAACAGTTCTTGTGCTAAAAAACTGACCCCACATTAGACTCATAATTTCACTTTTTTATAATAAAAAGAAAGCACAGACCACAAAAAACGTCAAATGAAAAAATCAAAACTACTCAGAAAATCTATGACAAAACACTGAAAAAATACAAAGTACACTAAACTACACTTAAATATAGCCCCAAAAACACACACCCTCTAAAAAAAAGTGCCTAAAGCTGAATTTTAGGCAGATATAGAAGACAAATTACCCCAGTTCTGTAATCATTATGTATTAAATACAAGCAGTATATGTATCTGAATCTGGCCTGGCCTGGTATCAGCCTCAGGTCTTCCCTGTACAGCAGGGCTGAAGTGTGAGAGGGAAAAGCAGCACAAGGAGCCAATCAGCAAGAAGCATGCTGATAGAATGCAAGAGAGATGAGCTTGTCACTGTGCTGCTTCTACTTTCGTTTTCCAGGCTGGTGGTGGATCCAGGATGAGCTGGGCTCAGAGTAAGTGGGTTGAATGATGCTGTCCATCAGACTAAGGGCAGAAAAAAAATACTGCAGGGGATATCTCTGAATTGAAGGTGAATACTACAGTAAAAACTGGATTTGCCATTTTATTTTGTAAAGGGTTATTTATTTTTATATTTGGGTGGAGTTCTGCTTTAATGAGGGAAATTCCAGATCAGTGTAAGGGCTGCATCAATTCCAGCAAAAACATTCTGTTCTTCCCTAGCGGTCGCCCTGTGTTTCTGTGAATGCGAGTCGGTGGGTGGTGTGTTGTGTTTATGCCCACCCCCATCATTGAAGGTTGTGACATGCTGAGGAGTAGGTGTGACCATTCACAGGTCCTTCACATAATGTACAGTATATGGTTTGCACCGAGCAGGCTTTTTTTCATTCTGAAATGACATTGGAGTTTTATTTTTGTCATCTAGTAAAGCTTAAAGTATGAGGATAGCGTAGTCTGGTGCCTTTGTGCTAGGGTGGAAAAAAGACGAAATAAACGTTTTTTAAAATAGAATTTACTTATCAAGATATGTGTCCAAGGCAACCGATAACTCTGTTCCTGTAATTCTCTGGGATGTCATAGAAGAGTAGGATTGGTCTCTTGGAGCCGGCAATTCCACAAAAACATTGTGCAGATGGCGGTGTGATGGATTGCGCTCTTCCCTTTGCAGGCATCTTTTCTCTGTCGGGGAACTCCATGTTGCTGCTGGTGGCCTATCGCAAGCGCTCTATGCTGAAGCCAGCCGAATTCTTCATCGTCAATCTGGCGATCAGTGACCTGGGTATGACCGGCACGCTCTTCCCTCTGGCTATCCCCTCGCTCTTTGCTCACAGGTAGGTGCCAGTGAAGAAATGGTTAATGCCAGTGTAGGGGAAACACATGGCCACCGTCAAGCCAGAAATTTCTTTTGCCAAATAAATGGGTTACTAACGTCCTCCCTCTACAGGAGCATGCACTCACCTTTCTTTGCTCCAAACCTTATTCGTTGTCAGCCAGGAGTGAATTCCCAACTCTCCCAGTTATGGGTGAGCATGTGACTCACAACCCACCTCTAGGGGTTGGAGCTTTCTTTCTCCAGTTCTGGTGGCCAAACAAAGCTGTGCAGGAGAGAGTAAAGGTGATTGCAGGCTGCATGGGGAGGAAGGGGGTCCTCCTGTAGCAGTCTCCATGATGTAATGTAGCACTACCCTCTTGAGGGCCGCTGGATTAATTTGAGTCCACCCAAGCATTGCACGGCCCAGCAACACTCATTTTTCCTCGTTTTTACATTCAGAGTTAGTAAACAGTCCTTGAGCTGGTTTTTTAATTGTTTTTTATTAAGGGGTTAACAACTTGGATGGGGTCTAGGGGTATATAGGATGCCCAGGAAAATGCAAACTTGAGGATAACTTCTTAGCAACCTGTACATTGTACAAAAGATGTGGATCTGCAAAATATAGCACTGTCTCTTTCAGGAGCTCTAAAGTCCCCTGGGTGTAACTCCTCAGACCCCAGATGCATCTTTCCTCTTCACCCAGCTACCCTGGGCAAGGGATTCCAAGATCTAACAATGAAGTAGTCCCGGGTGAGAACTAGTTTGGGCCTTTCACCTGACCGCCCTCTCCCTTTGTCAGGCTCAGGGGGTGTAGGAGTACTCACACTGCCCTGTCAGCGTGGTGGGTTGGTGGCTGCCTTCAGGCCTTACGCTGGGCTGGCTCTTTCCCTGCTGCTCAGGATGTCCTCCCTAGGAGACTTTGGGCACTTGAGATCCTCCTTTCAAGCATCCTGCCTGTAGGTAGGCTCCCCTGTCCGGAGCCCCCTCTTAGGCTCCACACTCCAGAATTCTCTCAGTCCATCTTCCACCCAACTCCATTGCTGCTCAGGCTCTGCCACATTTAAGGGCTGACCTTGGTCACCATGCCCGGCCTCATGCCTGGGGATTGGTCAAGATCCCTAAAACATGCAGATCTGGGAATCCTCCGCCCCTCTTTCACAAAGTTCTCTGAGTTTCTGGAAGGGTGGCAGGGCCCAAACCCATAGAGCCTTCCAGCCCGTTCTGAGGTGAACTCTCTACCTCACTCCCAGGCTGACTCATCCCAGGCTGTTACTTAGCCTCTAACTCTAAAACAACAAACCTAGCTACCTAGAGGGCACTACATCAATATAAAAATATCCAGCAGAGATGGTGTAAGCCCATCATAAGGGGCACAGCAGGTGTGCAGCTGGTAACTCTGAGCAGGGATATTGGCAGGGGTGAGTGACTCCCGACTCTCCAGCTGTTGTGGAACTATATGTCCCATGAGGCATTGCAAGACTGAAAGTTACAAGCACGACATGAGGCAGAGGCATGATGCGACATGTAGTTTGGTAACAGATGGAGGGCTGCAGTTACCCACCCCTGAGTATTGGGAAACCCTCATTATGGGCACATCATGTGTGCAGACCTAATAACTTGTGCAGGGATGGTGGGAGCTCATTATAAAGGCTACAAGCGGTATGCAGACATGGGTACTCAGCACAGGGATGGTGGGAACAGGAACTTAGCACGGCGATCTCACCAACTGAGTACCTGAGAGATAGAAGAGCCCATCAAGTGGTTTAAAGGGGTCACTAAACTGACCCTTTGGAATCAGACAGGATGGTTGCTTATCACATGCTAAGAAAGGAATAATTAGTTTGGGTGCTGGCACTGAGAACAAAATACCACACGGTAACCAAAGCTTCTCTCCCTTCAGGTGGCTGTTTGATAAAGTGACCTGTAAATATTACGCCTTCTGTGGGGTCTTCTTTGGGCTTTGCAGCCTGACGAATCTGACAGTTCTCAGTTCTGTTTGCTGTATGAAAGTCTGCTATCCAGTATACGGTGAGTTTAATCGTATTGTTTTGTATGTCCTGTCCTCACCACACATCAAAATAATAAAGGTAAATGGCAGAAAGAACTCTGGTATCGAGTCAGGAAAAAAAAAAAAAAATCTATTTGTTTTTATTATGAATCATTCAGGGAGCCAACAGTTGGGTCCATCGTCTAGAATAAGGCACCAGGTTGGTCCTTGGTTAGCACAGGTGTGCATTGTACTGCAAAATCACTCCCCTCAGCGAGACCCTTTGGTGTTTCAAATTAAATCCAGGCCACAAGCTAAAAGAGAGGTGTTAGCGATGTTCAGTAAATTGTGCCTAGGCTAGGTTCACACTGTTGCAGCTTTGCAGGACGCGTTTGCACAGGCACAGCAGCCCATTTATTTGAATGGGCTGCTGTGCCTGTGTTTAAAGGTTCCTGCAACATTTTAAGAACACAGTGGCGGGGAATTTTCCCTGCAGCCCCCGTACCCACAAATGCTTGGGGTTACAGAAATGGTTATTAGAAATGAATGGCAGACTCATGCATTTTTAAACAGCAGCGCGTTTTGGCTGCAGATGCAAGAACAGATATGATTCAGTTTACCCCAAAGTTGGATTTTGATGAGAATACAGGTTCAGGTCACATGATTCTGTGTTTTGCAACTTCCCTCCATTTTAAAATTTTCGAAATGTGTCTACAGTGGGTAGGATTGGTAATACCCAGCCTTCCTAAGCACATGGCTTCCCAGAACCACAGAATTCCAAGCACAAGGCCCTTGGATGAACTAGTGCTCTGCAGGAGTGCCTAGACCAGCAATGGGCAAACTACGGCCCGGCGGACCTTTTAATCCGGCCCGCGGAGCGTGATACTGTCAGGATGGCTGTCAGGATGTGTGTAGGCGGGGCAGCGTGACGAACGTGAGGGGAGCTAGGCTCCTCTCACAGTCCGCCCTGAAGACCGGAACGGCGCGGGAACACGGCGAGAGGAACGCGCGGAGCAAAGGTAAGTGAATTGACACAGGGGGGACTCGGCTTACTACTTGGGGGGGGAATAGTACTGTGGGGGATGAAATACTATATGAGGGATGAAATACTATATGAGGGATGAATTACTATGGGGGATGAATTAATATGGGGGATGAATTACTATAGGGGGGATGAATTACTATATGGGGGATGAATTACTATGGGGGATGAAATACTATATGAGGGATGAATTACTATGGGGGATGAATTACTATATGGGGGATGAATTACTATGGGGGATGAATTACTATGGGGGATGAATTACTATATGGGGGATGAATTACTATATGGGGGATGAATTACTATAGGGGGGATGAATTAATATGGGGAATGAATTACTATAGGGGGGATGAATTACTATGGGGGATGAATTACTATATGGGGGATGAATTACTATATGGGGGATGAATTACTATATGGGGGATGAATTACTATGGGGGATGAATTACTATATGGGGGATGAATTACTATATGGGGGATGAATTACTTTATGGGGGATGAATTACTATGGGGGATGAATTACTATATGGGGGATGAATTACTATATGGGGGATGAATTACTATATGGGGGATTAATTACTATGCTTACTATGGGGGAATATTACTATACTTACTATGGATGACACATACACATCATTCATCTACTCTTGGTCTGGCCCCCAGGTCCAATATATGAACCCATTGCGACCCTCAAGTCAAAAAGTTTGCCCACCCCTGGCCTAGACGCAGCACGGAATCCCTGGGCATTTAGGCATTTCACAATGACCACGCTTTTCATCATTAGCTATAGATATTATCCCATTATACCTAATATTGATGGTTGTTGATGTCATTTTAAATGATAAATCTTTCTGGTTGTTAGTATTAAATTATACCTTAACATGCCGGTTGATTATGAAGGTTGTAGAAGCGTGGTCAGTACGGTTCCTGTGGAGAGAGTAATGTGGAGCGCTGACAAAGCTTACTTCTGACTTTTATCAGTCCCTCTCAGCCTTTCAGATTTTGTAAGACTTCAGAGAGAGAGATTTGTGAGCAGCCAGGGTACAGGTTGGGGCTCAAACTTTTGAAGAGCGGGGGCCATTTAAGGGATCTGGTAACCAGTCACGGGCCACAATGAAGTGAAATGGTTCAGAATTTCGAATAGCATAATGAACATTTTCCTCCTGCAGCCGCTGAATGCTGGTGTGGAGGGAGAGAAGGAGAAGCCAGCTTTCAGCAGTAGCAGGAGGAAAATGGAAAGGATCGATTCCTGTATGTGCCACCCCTCCTGTCCAAGTGTAAAACAGAGTGTGACAGGGGAGGCCAAGTGAGCCCCCTGGAGCCTGGGGGTGGGGTCCCCATTGTGTACCCTAATGCGACAACAGTGGTTGGGGGGGGGGGTTGTTAAAAACAACTATTGGATTTTACCTCTCCCCAAAGTGCACACATAAATGAGCCCTTACTATCCTGAGGCTAAGGCTACTTTCACAATGATGTACTGCGGTTTACCAACACATTTGGTGCAGTGCATCCACGGCTTTCCTGCAAGTTATCTGCGCTTTTCCATAGACTTCTATTATATTATTATTATACAGGATTTATGGCGCCAACAGTTTGCTCAGCGCTTTACATTATAACGGGAGACAATACAGGAACAATACAGTTCAATACAAGAGGGATAGGAGGGCCTGATCCTGGGAGCTTACAATCTAGGAGGGAGGGGCTAGTGGTACAAAAGGCAATAACTGTGGGGGATGGACTGGTTGGAAGAGTAGAAGATTCCATTATTAGCTGAGGGGAGGATAGGCTTCCCTGAAGAGATCGGTTTTCAGAGATCGACTAAAAGTAAGCAGAGTAGGCGATAGTCTGATAAATTGGGGTAGAGAGTTCCAGAGGATGGGGGAAGCTCTGGAAAAGTCCTGGAGACGAGCATGGGAGGAGGAGACAAAGGAGCTAGAGAGCAGGATGTCTTGCGAGGAGCCGAGAGTACGGTTGGGTGATATTTAGAGACAAGATCTTTGATGTAATTTGGGGCAGAGTTATAAATGGCTTTATACATTATTGTTAATGTTTTGAATTTTATCCGTTGGGCAACGGAAAGCCAGTGGAGGGATTGGCAGAGAGGGATGGCAGATACAGAATGGTTATTATAAAAGTCGCACCAAACCCCTACATTCAGTTTGAGGTCAAGGGCCACAGGCTGAGCACCCCTGGTTTAGATTCTTGACCTCAAAATTCCTGCAGGCCAGGAAAGTCTGGGCTGTCATATCAGTTCAGCACTGAGGTATACCAAGCTGCAATCAGGAGCATATTGGAGTCAGACTCCTTTACACCAAAACATAGTAGAGGAAATGACTTTACACATTTTAGCTGAATGGACAATGCAGATGATCCTGCTATATTGTCATTGCTCTTGCAAGGTTTGATATATATTTCCTTCTGCCTGGACTGCACCTATTAAGGCCTGTAAAGCAGTAAAGCAGTGCTCTTCATATGCCGATCCTCCTGTTACAGCAACTTCTGTAGGTTTAATACTTGTTCAATGGACTCAAGATTTCATATCAGATAAGGTTCGTTAGGGATCTTGCAATGCTATTCTTTCATTCCTCTGTATGGATCAGTATTAACAATTGGCCCATTTATACCAGGCCTCAGTATTCCGTTTATACCAGGCCTCAGTATTCCGTTTATACCAGGCCTAAGAAAGCAGAACTGAGGCTAAATGATGGAGTTTCTGTTTTATAGCTGAATATGGACCTATAATTATTTTACAGGAAACAAATTTTCTTCTTCCCATTCACGGGTTTTGCTGCTCTGCGTCTGGGCGTACGCATTTGTATTCGCCACGGCTCCACTGGCAGAGTGGGGGAGTTACGGACCGGAGCCCTACGGTACAGCCTGCTGTATAGACTGGACGGCCCCTAACCGGGAGCATCGAGCCATGTCCTATATCGTGTCCCTGTTCGTCTTATGCTATATCTTACCCTGCACACTGATCCTCATCTCCTACACCCTCATCCTGCTCACTGTGAAAGGGGCGAGGAAAGCCGTACAACAGCACCTGTCACCGCAGAACAAAGGAAGCAACGTACACAGCCTTATCATAAAGGTGAGACTCGCCATGACACAAACACCTGGGGTGGTATCCACTTGATATGTATGGAAATAAATGACGCAGGGATCTCAGAGTTACCGTGAATTAATCGCTGAGGAGTAGAAACAGACATATCTCTGAACAGGGAGAGTTCTACATAATCACACACATAAAACAATGGATTCAGTGAACGGAGCTGGGTGTGTAGAATGCCACTGATTATAAACCACCCAATGATGGAAAACACGTTACATTACTGTAGTAGTAAACACAATGAGAGAGATTTACTAAAATCTGGTGCAGCTCTGCATAGTAACCAATCAGATTCTAACTTCAACATGTTCAATTAAAGGAGAAGTACAGCCAAAGCTCTTTTGGCTGTATTTCTCCTGTGGATGCAGTTCGTTCTGCACTCCTGTGACCCGTTCTTAGCTGACAGCGGTTTGAAGCGCGCTGTTGGCTGATGTAACTCAGCTGGTCCAGGCTGGGGAAAAATCCCAACTTTAGAGACGGGATCCACCCCAGAGTCTGAAGCGGCACCTGGTTCAACCTCTCAGCGAGCCTCTGAGAGCCTGAGCCAGCGGCTTCCTCCCCCCCTCCACAGCCCAGCACTCCGGTGAGCACTGGGGGGGCAGAGCAGACAACAGTGCCTGAAAGTCACTGTTCTCTGCTCAGAGCGGAGAGGAGAAGTCACAGCTCATGTGATCGCTGAGTTCTCACTTTTAGCCTGGGTTTACACTGCTTACAACACAAAAAAAAGTGCGCAGTTCATTTTTTGTTTTTTTATTAGATGTGATATTGGGCTAAGCGCAAGGATTTTTTTTTCTTTTTCATATGGGTTCATACTGATGCAGTGCAGAATTCGCACCGGTTTCTGTGCAAATTCATAATTGCACCTTGTTCATGTGAACTGGAATCGGTTCTCAAAAAGCGCTGCGATGTGCAGAATCGGATCACATAGGTGTGAATACTCATGTGATCCTATTCTAGTGCGGACAAAAAAAAGGTGCTGATGCGGTGCGATTTCAGCCATACAAAATGTATGGCTCAAATTGCACCGCACAGAATTCGCATGTGATTTGCACAGGAATGCCGTGCGGTTCCTGTGCGTATCACATGCGATGTTCCACATCGCAGAAGTGTGAACCCGGGCTCAGGGGTGGACTGACCATTTGGAAACTCAGGCACTGCCCGAGGGCCTGGGGTCAGTAGGGGACCCCATGAGATGCCCCTGGTACCTTTTTCATAGGCTTTATTGAGTTTGGGCAAGGACACAGGGGCCCCATGATCCCCTATTGCCCGGGGGCACCATGAGTTGTCAGTCCGCCCCTGTGCAGGAATGCATCTGGACTGCATTTCTATGGTGTGAACCCGGACCATAGGGCTGGTTCCCACCAGATGCAATCCAGTCGCTGTAAAACAAAAAAAAAAAAAGGTGCTGATGCGGTGCGATTTCAGCCATACAAAATGTATGGCTCAAATTGCACCGCACAGAATTCGCATGTGATTTGCACAGGAATGCCGTGCGGTTCCTGTGTGTATCACATGCGATGTTCCACATCGCAGAAGTGTGAACCCGGGCTCAGGGGTGGACTGACCATTTGGAAACTCAGGCACTGCCCGAGGGCCTGGGGTCAGTAGGGGACCCCATGAGATGCCCCTGGTACCTTTTTCATAGGCTTTTTTGAGTTTGGGCAAGGGGCCCCATGATCCCCTATTGCTCGGGGGCCCCATGAGTTGTCAGTCCGCCCCTGCCCGGGCTTAGAGCCGGAGGGGAACCCATGCAGCATCCACCTAGGAAAGTATAAATGGGGGAAAAAAAGCTATACTTCTCTTTTAAGCTGTAACAATAAGACCCAGAAGCTGATTGCTTACATCCACAGCTGATTCTGTGGGCACCCGTGTTAGTAAATCTCCCCCAATGTTGTAAAGGAGGAGGGTAGGAATGTTGTGTAGTAGGTGCAAAAGAAACTGGTACTTACCCAACAGTCCCCTATATATATATATTTCAGGATGCTGCATTCCAACAATTCATTAGAACATGCAATTCCAGCAGTGTATGGTAACAGATTTGAGCACTGATCAGCCATTGGTGAAGCCAAACTAATCTGGACAGTGAAAAACTAGAGACAACATACGCTTGCCTTGTCTTTGGTGCTATATAATAATCTGGTAACAGTGTGCACACTACTAGTATTATTTATCAGGCCTCGTCCTGGTGCAGTGCGCCAAAATAGTTTTGCCATTCTGTAATTTACTAAGCAAATCAAAACGCCGAGTTCATACCAGGTTCTCCGCCACCTATATCAGCGTTGTATTCTAGAAAAAAATTAATTGTCGGGTTTACACAAGCTAAGTGGTTTATCTGTTTCTCGTTTCCTATCCGACACATGCTCAGAGGAATAGAAAGGACCCTTTCATGTCTGTTTATGAAAGCCACGCCGGGGATTCGACAGTGGGAACCGCTTTTTATTACAATTTTAGTGTGATATGACCATCTCATTAAATTTCCAGTATTTCTATAAAGATAATTAGAAAAGACAAATTATCTGTGTTTTTATGTTTTTTTCCCTACCACAACAAACCAATTTAATTTAATTTGCTGCAGTGACTGTGCCTGTAGTGTTTGGATAAATTCATTTTTTTTTTTTTATCTTCCTCATATTTAAAGTGTTACTAAACCCACCACAGTACAATCAGTCTGCATAGGCAGTAAAGCACGCTTGTTATACTCACTGTGGAACCTAAAGGGTTAATCCTCTGCATTGTGTGAAAAGGCTGTTCGATCCTGTCTTCTCTGACCCTCCTTTTGTTCAAATGTCCATGCTTATAAGACAGACTGAACCCGTAGCCCTTCTGCACATGCTCAGTTTAGTGTGTATTGCTAGAGAGGTTTTTTTTTTTCCATGGGAGAGTGCATGTGATCAGCACAGGGCCAATCAGTACTGTCCAGACAGAGGTCAGGGGTTCTGCATCCTCCTAGAGCAGAAAGAACACTCCTCCTACAAGCTTTAACAAGTGCTCAGCTGAAGTCACAAGACTGCTATATACTGCTGATGAGAAAAGGTATTTAGCAGTTTATATTTACTAAAATAATTGCATTTCCATGTTGTGTGTACTGTGAAAGACCAGGTATAGTGAATGCGGGGTCCGAGGAGAGCAGATAAAATGAATGCAGGGTCCGGGGAGACCAGATATAGTGAATGTAGGGTCCGGGGAGAGTGGATATAGTGAATGCGGGATCCGGGGAGACCAGATATAGTGAATGTAGGGTCCGGGGAGAACGAATATAGTGAATGCGGGTTCCGTGGAGAGCGGATATAGTGAATGCAGGGTCCAGGGAGAGCGGATATAGTGAATACGAGGTCCGAGGAGAGCAGATATAGTGAATTCAGGGTCCGGGGAGAGCGGATATAGTGAATGCGGGGTCCGGGGAGAGCGGATATAGTGAATGCAGGGTCCGGGGAGAGCGGATATAGTGAATGCAGGGTCTGGGGAGAGCTGATATAGTGAATGCGGGCTCCGGGGAGAGCGGATATAGTGAATGCGGGGTCCAAGGAGAGCAGATATAGTGAATGCGGGGTCCAAGGAGAGCGGATATAGTGAATGCGGGGTCCGGGGAGAGCGGATATAGTGAATGTAGGGTCCGGGGAGAGCGGATATAGTGAACGCGGGATCCAGGGAGACCGGATATAGGGAATGCAGGGTCCTGGGAGAGCAGATATAGTGAATGCGGGGTCTGGGGAGACCAGATATAGTGAATGTAGGGTCCGGGGAGAATGAATATAGTGAATACGGGGTCTGGGGAGACCAGATATAGTGAATGTAGGGTCCAGGGAGAGCGGATATAGTGAATGCGGGGTCCGGGGAGAGCGGATATAGTGAATGCGGGGTCCGTGGAGAGCGGATATAGTGAATGCAGGGTCCAGGGAGAGCGGATATAGTGAATGCAGGGTCCGAGGAGAGCAGATATAGTGAATTCGGGGTCCGGGGAGAGCTGATATAGTGAATGCAGGGTCCGGGGAGAGCGGATATAGTGAATGCAGGGTCCGGGGAGACCAGATATAGTGAATGCGGGGTCCGGAGAGACCAGATATAGTGAATGAAGGGTCCGGGGAGAGCAGATATAGTATTTTCCCCTGACAGCAACGATGAAGATTATTCTTCCCACTAATACCAATTCATCCTACCACCCACAAGCATTATGTAAATATTTTACCCCCCCAACCACCAAGTCTAAGACTTTTTCTACTCCCACTGGCCACAATCTGGCCCTCCTAAAGTCTGAAAGATAGTAATTTGGCCCTCTGCTTGGAAAGGTTGGAGACCCCTGGTCTAGGGGACCCTTTACTAGTCCACAAAGTTGCCTATTGAAAATGAATTGTTGATTCACAACATTATCTGCTTCCCATGCATGATTTCAGGTGTTTGTGATTGTAGGTTTGGATGAAATGTTCCTCTCATCCACATATAGTATAACATGAGTTATAACATTAGTAATCTCTTTTTGTATTTCACAGCTCAGTGTGGCAGTCTGCATTGGCTTCCTCCTTGCATGGACTCCTTACGCTGTTGTGGCAATGTGGGCGGCTTTTGGCGATGCCAGGCGGGTCCCGACGATAGCATTTGCCCTTGCTGCTATGTTCGCCAAGTCTTCTACCCTCTACAACCCCATGGTGTATCTGCTACTGAAGCCAAACTTTTTGAATGTCGTAACCAAAGACCTGTCCGTGTTTCAGGCTGTGTGCGCCATGGTCTGTGGCATCTGCCGAACCCCCGTGAAGCAAACGCCATGTATACACCAGGATGTCAGGAACCCTTTTATGGAGAGCCACTGCTGCATTGAAACGTTTGAGTGCTTTGGTAATTACCCACAATGCTGCAGTTTGGGCCAGATGGACATGGGCCACCCTGCTGGCCTCACTCTGGTCAAGGCTCAACCAGCTAATGTCGTGTCGACTTCCTCAGTTCATCTCGTGGTACATTCCTCCAGAACTAAATCCACCCTGGAAACGGTGGAGATCACAACAGAGTCTCTGCCACCAGATTGTACAAAAGACTTTCTGTGATTTGCTGACACTGATCACATGACGCCTTTCTGATGTTTCTGGCCTTCTAGAATCAGGTCTGTTTTGTATTGGTGTTGAGTCATTAAAAACTATTCAAACTTTATTGAAGTTGTGATGAAAAATTCTTCTTCGCGGTCCCATCACCCGATGACAGAGTCAGTCCACTGGGGAAAGTTTACAAGGGAAGTGTATTGTGTTTTTGGATTGGTTGTTCTTGGGGTCTGCAGTTGGGTGCAAGCAGTTTTTGGCACAGGGCTTGCTTGGTTGTGGGGAAGATGTTTTTGACATGGCATAAAGGGAATATACTTGATAAAAGTCCTGTATTCTTTCCTAGATACACAGAATATAACTGGATATAATATTTATAGGTAAAGTTGATCCAGGGAATATCTGATTGCCTCTTGGGGGATCAGGAAGGACTTTTTTTCCCCTTCTGGAGCAAATTGGATCATGCTTTGCTGGTTTTTTTTACCTTCCTCTGGATCAACTGTGGGTGTAGGATTATAACGTTTTTTTTTTTTTTTTTATGGTTGAACTGAATGAACTTTTGTCTTTTTTTTCAGCCAGACTAACTATATAACTATGTAATTATGTTACTACTACAGAATGGTGGTTAGGGGGTAACGAAAACAAGAGCAGAGTGCACTGGATATCACATAACCCCTTAAGCTGATGCCGACCTTGCATGCGCTGTATGCGGATAAATGGAGATCTAACCCTGGTATCTGCCACCAATGGAGCTCTCACTGCTAAACAAAGCTGCAGCTCCACAGTAACTCAACCTTGGCAAGTAATTACTGCAGATGCTTTTCGATCTTCCACCCCATTCATTCGAGATGAAGTTTGAGGAACCCCAAAATGCTTAAAGTACTCCTAAAGCCAAAAAGGTAGGAAATGATAAAAGCCCCGACAAGTGTTTTTGTTTCTGCTTGCCTGTTGGGAGTTTTTCCTTTACATTCTCCTTTATCCTTTACATAACAGGAAGTGAGAGGAGATATCTCTGAAGACAGTTGTCACCAAAACAACCACATTGGAAGATTTCCTCTTTATTCCTGTCCATGTGACAGTTCAACTCAGCTTGGACAGAGACATCAGCAAAAACCTGACAGAGGTTCTAATGCTTCTCTATTCTAACCAATAAAATCGTGAAAAATAATATTTAGTTTTTTTTTATATCAAATACATTTTATTGAAAATGTTTTTAATTTACATCTACACATTCCATACATACCTCCCCCCCTTCCCACACATACATCGGTGTATCACTCTCTTATGCATTTTATTAAAGCAATTATGCCATTTTCCCAAATATAAACATAATGTAGCGCTCACAATAATATACATTCATTTCTTATTTCCACATTTCAATATTATTCTAACACCCTATTCATCACTCTCTCAATAGTGGTCTGTCCCATAGTGTCCCTTCCTTCCAATCAGCTCTCAGATCTCTCCTCACTGAGCTCTGCAGAGTGTAACTTTGGCTCTCCACCTGTTTTTTTTTCTGAACAGCATTTTGAATGGATGGAGAGAAGAGAATACTGCAGATAAACAGGTACAACTTATGTAGGATGATTTGTTTCATCTCTGTGTATCACCTGAGGCCAGTCACTTCAATGTGTGATATGGATTTACAACCACTTTAAGGATAGTTTTTTTTTTTCTAGAGAATTTTCTAAATTCATAAATCATGGGGCAACATCCAATCCATTTCATGCTTTGTTATTAATTTTTAATGACTGTGTGTGTGTTTGCGTCTATAAAAAGTGCATCAAAATGGCTTTCGCTGCAAACAGTGCATTGGAGAGGAACCTGTTTGCCATCCCAGAGTGAAAGCTTTTTGGCAGCAATTAAAACATTAGATAGCTCCCAGGATCAGGGCCCTCCTATCCCTCTTGTATTGAACTGTATTGTTGCTGTATTGTCTCCCGTTATATTGTAAAGCGCTGAGCACACTGTTGGCGCCATAAATCCTGTATAATAATAATAATAATTTAGCTGTGGCATAGTCTCTGCATACAGGCAAGAGAAAACAAAAACAGCATTTGCCATTTTCCAAACAATCCACAAGATGGCAGTGCAGATTAGGAGATCTCTCTCTCTCTCACCTTTCTACACAAAATTAAAATAAATGCACATTTTTTTTTGCAGGTAAAAAGATGTGCATTTATTATTTTTTGTCTTAAGAGACTGTAAAGCAGATCACTGATGCCATGCCACTGTATCTGCTTGTTTGTACATCCCGTACGGGCGAGCCGATACTTCTGACAGGAAGACTCAATTGACTACCACAGCGCTCACATCGGCGTGGTAGTTCATTGAGAACTACAAGCCGACAGCTGCTAAGGCTGTTGGGATTTGTAGTTCATTCATTCACAGAACACTGTGAATGAATGACGCAGCTGTGTGGGGCAACTGGCAGCTAGTACGGGGAACTTCTCTCCATACTTCTGTCCCTAAAAACTGGGGTGGAACATGTAACATGTTCCCAAAGGTGGACTTAACCTTTAGGTGTCCTTTTATGAACCAGCGGTAATAGATCGCTGTTCAGTTCTCCGGCATTCTCGGAGAACACAGTTCTCCTGTGAATTCAGTTTATGAAGCAGTTCTCCGAACGAAGGGAGAACGGTCTCCAAACGCTGGAGAACGGTGTACAAACTCTGGAAAACGGCTGATTTTACTATAATCTCGCGAGATTACAGTAAAAGATCAGTTTACTAAGCAGAGGTAAATTATCTCTGCTTAGTTTGCGGTCCCTCTGATTCTCCAGCTCTGGGCTGGAGAATCTGGAGGTTGAACACAGATCCCCAGTGAAGGGCTGACATGATCTCCTGAGTGTCATAAACTGTGAATGACCAGAGAATAGCTGAGATCAGTTGAATTGCAGCTATTCTCTATGTCATAAAAGGACACCATAATAACTGAATCTGTGTGTTTCTGTAGGCAACATAAACATTTCCTGTTCAATTCTACTAAGACAGGATGCACGCTGAGGCTAAATTGCAAAATCCTGAGAAATGTATTAGATGCTGCTGCCATAAAGACAAGGTAATGCAGGTCCATACCCCCCCCCCCCATCCTAATTCAGCTTTACCTGTGTGACTCTGCAGCTTGTGTCAGGGGTCAGAGGTCACCCACTCTTAGGCAGTTGACAAAGGTTACACACTGTGTCCCCGCCTCTAAATAAGAATGGCAGTGTCATGGTCAGGGGTCAGGTTTGAAGACCAGTAGCTATAGCAGTAGAGAGGCTTCCACCAACCAGCAAGATAAGTACACAACACCCTGATGGATGACACAGGCTTACCTGAGGCACAGGGTCTAAGCACTAACCAGTATTTACCAGAGCTCCTGATGGTGGAAATGGGTTTTGCTGCGTGTTAGTACCAGGTTGTGGTCCTCAGGATTGCCCCACCAGGAGGTGAGCAAGTTGGGGTCCAGTACCAGATATAGCAGGTAGGGATCCAGCAGAAGCGTAATCAATAAACAAGCTAGAGGTCAGTAATAAGTGGTTGTATGTTGGGATCAAGCAGAAGTGTAGTCAAGGAACAAGCGAAAAGTCAGTAATGAGTGGTGGCCAGTTGGGATTAAGTGGAAGCGTAGTCGAGGAATGGACCAAGGGCTGGTAACGAGTGGTCGCAAGTTGGGGTGAAGAAGAAGTGTAGTCAAGGAACAAGTGAAAGGTCAGTAATGAATGGTGGCCAGTTGGGATCAAGTGGAAATGTAGTTGAGAAACAGGCCAAGGGTTGGTAACGCGTGGTTGCAAGTTGGGATAAAGAGGAAGTGTAGTCAAGGAACAAGTGAAAGGTCAATAATGAGTGGTGGCAGGTTGGGATCAAGTAGAAACATAGTCAAGGAACAAGCCAAAGGTTGGTAACAAGTGGTTGCAGGTTGGGATAAAGAAGAAGTGTAGTCAAGAAACAAGCGAAATGTCAGTAATGAGTGGTGGCAGGTTGGGATCAAGTGGAAGCGTAGTCAAGGAACAAGCTAAGGGTTGGAAACGAGTCGTTGCAGGTTGGAATGAAGAAGAAGCATAGCTGAGGAACAAGCCAAAGGCTGGTAATGAAGATAAGAACAGCTGCAGGGACACAAAGGAGACAAAGGGACACGCAAGGTATCGGTCGGAGAGAGTACAGTAATCTGGCAAACAGGAAGTGCAGAGGCATGGCTTAAATCAGGAAGTTCATGGGAGGAGCAAAGAGTTCCAGATTTGCCAGAAACAGGATACAAAGCATGATTGTCCCAAGGGATCATACAGGGAGCTGTCCAGCATCTCATGTGGCTCAGCAAGAAGAGCTACAGCCAGACACAGCAGAGGTTGCAGATTCAGATCTGGGTCCTGACAGGCAGAATGCATGAGTTGTTTATATGCTTCTAAAGGGCTCTGTTATTTGAAATGGTTAGGTACACTCATGAGCTGGGAGACTGCGTAAAAGGTCACATTGACCTCTGTATCATACTAAGAAGGGGACAAATATAAATGGTTCACAAGTATGCCTATATGACTATAAAGGAAGATTGAATATTCATAATGCTGCGAAAGCTCATGACCAGTTCCCTTCAATGCGTTGTTTGGAATTTATTTTGTACTTAGCTGTACAGTCTCCTTTTCTTTTAATGTGAAGTTTGTAATTATATACGTCTTTGAGGCAGCTGTATTGGCTGATATCACAGGCAAGCCGTGCTTTATGCTTCATAGTGATTGTGTTGTACTGTTCCCACCTTTTAACTGAAGTCTGTCAGCACTGACTAATTGAGTACAGAAAATTCTCAACGCGGCTAATTTTATTTCGGCAAACCTTCAGGGGTATTGAAATTATCCAGAAGATGGCAGTGCAGATTAGGAGAAGGAGCGCTGCATTTGGGTTCGTTGCATTTACACGATACATGGCATTGCCGGGATTTAGATCACGCAAGAGCAGGGGCAAACTAACCATTTGGAAACTCGGGCACTGCCCGAGGGCCCGGGGTCAGTAGGGGGCCCCATGAGATGCCTCTGGTACCTTTTTCATAGGCTTTTTTGAGTTTGGGCAAAGACACAGGGGCCCCATGATCCCCTATTGCCCGGGGGCCCCATGAGTTGTCAGTCCGCCCCTGCGCAAGAGTGTTTAATAACTGAGTCTGTGTGTTTCTGTAGGCAACACAAACGTTTTCTGTTCAAGTCTGTTAAGATAGGTTGCCCGCTGAGGCTAAATTGCAAAATCTTGAGAAATGTGTTTAGATGTTGCCAGGGGCGGACAGACAACTCATGGGGCCCCCGGCCAATAGGGGATCATGGGGCCCCTGTGTCCTTGCCCAAACTCAAAAAAGCCTATGAAAAAGGTACCAGGGGCATCTCATGGGGCCCCCTACTGACCTTAGGCAGTGCCCGAGTTTCCAAATGGTCAGTCCGCCCCTGGATGTTGCATATAACATCTCACCTGCTGCCACAAAGACAAGTTAGCCCTGGTTCACACCGGTGTGACTTCAGGTGTGACATGCCATTTACAAATCACTCCTGAAGTTGCACCTAATGTATTTCTATGGCACTGTCTTAATGGGTGTGATTTGAAGTGGCACCATTTTTAAAAATTGTTCCTGCTCTACTTTTTTCCAGTTTCATTTGGGACTTGCATTGACTTCTGTTAAATGAAGTTACGCGCCACAGTGAAATTGGAGGTACAAATCGTACTGATCTGCAACTTTGAAATCGCGTTACTTCAATTGAAGTAACGCGATTTCAAAGTTGCATTCAGTGTGAACCAGGCTTAATGCAGGTCCATACCCCCTAATTCAGCTTTACCTGTGTGACTTTGCAATTTGTGTCAGGGGTCAGAGGTCACTGTTAGGCGGTTGTCAAAGCAATAACTGCCTGAGCTTACACAAGACTACTAGGTTAGAATGGCAGTGTCACGGTCAGGCTTGGAGACCATAGCAGTAGAGAGTCTCCCGCTGACCAGAAGGAGAGTGCACAACACCCTGATGGATGGAGCAGGCTCACCCAAGGCGCAGGGAAATGCTTACAAATATTAAATTATTGCAGCCATCACTTTTGATAATTGGTAATCTGATATATCTTACATTTTTGATTTTGGGTTTAATACCACTTTGAGATGGGCACTCAAACCTTACTGCCCCCTGGTCTGTCACTCCCAACAAGGTGTTCAGGCATTGATCCTAGGCTATGAGAGGTGAAGCAGTCTGCTCTGAGATTCGATCTCATTACTGTTTATTTTCTGCTTTAGATTTTTTATCCACTGAGCCACTGCCACCTTTCAAATGCATGAAATATGAACAAAGCAAATCCCTCTATAGTGTGTACTTGTCTCAATCCAGAGCACTAAGTGTCATTTCTGTCTGCTGCTTCGTTCCTCTGCTATCAGCATGAGTCACTTCTGACAAGTTTTCCTGACACCAAGAGAAAAATGATGACAGGGAGGGACCTCCAGTAGATTGACAGCCTCAGCTCTGTTCCTGTGAGCTGTGTGGAGAGGGGGGGGGAGGTGTCCCTTCCCTCCAATCAGCTCTCAGAGCTCTCCTCACTGAGCTCTGCAGAGTGTAATTTAAGCTCTCCGCCCCTTTTTTCTGAATGCTCAGGCAAGCTTTTTAAATTAATCACTTTAAACAGATGTAGAAAAGAAAATGCAGCAGATATACAGGTACAACTTATGTAGGAGGATTTGTTTCATCTCTGTGTAGCACCTGAGGCCAGTCACTTCACTGAGGATATGTGAGGGTTTACAAGCACTTTAAGCATTATTCCACAATACAAACTTAATCCGGCCACCAACAGAGATCAGCCCTGATGAAGTGGAGTCCATCGACCACCCCAATGTATTATATAAGGGGACCTGTTACTGAAATGAGCTGAGCGTAATGTTGACCAAACATGGCCGTGCCGAAAACTGTTCTTATTCAGGACACAAACAGAGCGGAAAGCAGTTGAGAAGTTTCTACATGAAGTTGGGACATTTGTTCCTGTTCATCGTGAAATCGTTTTTTCACCTCAATGTAACGTGTTCACTGGAAAAGTGTGTAACGTGTGAAGGAAGGAACAGCAGAACGATTACACAAGTGACCTCAGACCGAGCTGTAAGATATACAGTGTTACGTGTGGAAGACACGCACCCTGATGAAGGGGTCCTGCGATTTATTGTGTGATTGTAAAACTATAAAAGACATTTACATTCAACGTTTATTTCAGCGTGCGGAGAGCGTATATGTGTGGCGTAGTCACCGGTCACAGCACTGCGATTTAATATTGTGCGATTTGTGTGCAATTTCAGCACGATTTCTGAAGATTTTTAACGATTTTCTTGCAATCTGTGGTGCGATTTCCATTGTGTTCTATGTAAGTAAAATCGCAACACAACTGCAGAAAAAGTCATGCAAGAACTACTTTAGAAATCGCGCTGCAGTAAATCACGAATGTTAAGACACCGACATTTACATTCATTAGATGTGATTTCAGGTACGATTTCAATTCGCAAATCACACCGATGGGACCGGATGGAAGATTGTGGGAAGAACATTCATCAGTCTGATAACATAGTAAATCCATAGCAGGGAAACGTGTATAGACAGGAACATGTGTAGGACCAGGACATTCGCTGACACTTTATGTTTACAAAAACAAAACAAAAGAAAATTACTTAGAAACCACAAACATGTTATATATATCTTTTAGCAGAGGCCCTACAGCAGGGTATGGAATTCAAATTCAAGGAGGTCCGGTCACTAAAATTTTCTTCTGGCCGAGGTCCATATAGTGTGTACCCATCAGTGTGCCCCCTTACATTAGGTGCCGCCATCAGAGTGCAACTTTACATCAGGTATCCCCATCAGAGTGCCCCTTTACATCAGGTATCCCCATCAGAGTGCCCCTTTACATCAGGTATCCCCATCAGAGTGCCCCTTTACATCAGGTATCCCCATCAGAGTGCTCCTTTACATCAGGTATCCCCATCAGAGTGCCCCTTTACATCAGGTATCCCCATCAGAGTGCCCCTTTACATCAGGTATCCCCATCAGAGTGCCCCTTTACATCAGGTATCCCCATCAGAGTGCTCCTTTACATCAGGTATCCCCATCAGAGTGCCCCTTTACATCAGGTATCCCCATCAGAGTGCCCCTTTACATCAGGTATCCCCATCAGAGTGCTCCTTTACATCAGGTATCCCCATCAGAGTGCCCCTTTACATCAGGTATCCCCATCAGAGTGCCCCTTTACATCAGGTATCCCCATCAGAGTGCTCCTTTACACCAGGTATCCCCATCAGAGTGCCCCTTTACATCAGGTATCCCCATCAGAGTGCCCCTTTACATCAGGTATCCCCATCAGAGTGCCCCTTTACATCAGGTATCCCCATCAGAGTACCCCTTTACATCAGGTATCCCCATCAGAGTGCCCCTTTACATCAGGTATCCCCATCAGAGTGCTCCTTTACATCAGGTATCCCCATCAGAGTGCCCCTTTACATCAGGTATCCCCATCAGAGTGCCCCTTTACATCAGGTATCCCCATCAGAGTGCTCCTTTACATCAGGTATCCCCATCAGAGTGCCCCTTTACATCAGGTATCCCCATCAGAGTGCCCCTTTACATCAGGTATCCCCATCAGAGTGCTCCTTTACACCAGGTATCCCCATCAGAGTGCCCCTTTACATCAGGTATCCCCATCAGAGTGCCCCTTTACATCAGGTATCCCCATCAGAGTACCCCTTTACATCAGGTATCCCCATCAGAGTACCCCTTTACATCAGATATCCCCATCAGAGTGCCCCCTTACACTCAAAGTACCCCTTTCTATCATATTCCCCATCCGAATGCTACTTTCCACAGTATGTGCCCATTTGTGCCCCCTTAATATAAAATGTGCCCGTCAGAGTGAACCTTAACATAACATAAGGGCATGCTGATGGGCACATTTTATATTAAGGGGCACTCCGATGAGCACATTTTATATTAAGGGGCACTCCGATGAGCACATTTTATATTAGGGGCACTCCGATGAGCACATTTTATATTAAGGGGCACTCCGATGAGCACATTTCATGTTAAGGGGCGCTCTAATGGGCACATTTTTTATTAAGGGGCACTCCGATGTGCACATTTTATGTTAAGGGGCACTCTGATGGGCACATTTTATGTTAAGGGGCACTCTGATGGGTACATTTTATGTTAAGGGACACTCTGATGGGTACATTTTATATTAAGGGGCACTCTGATGGGTACATTTTATGTTAAGGGACACTCTGATGTGCACATTTTATGTTAAGGGGCACTCTGATGGGCACATTTTATGTTAAGGGGCACTCTGATGGGCACATTTTATGTTAAGGGACACTCTGATGGGTACATTTTATATTAAGGGGCACTCTGATGGGTACATTTTATATTAAGGGGCACTCTGATAGGTACATTTTACATTAAGGGGCACTCCGATGAGCACATTTTATGTTAAGGGGCACTCTGATGGCCACATTTTATATAAAGGGGCACTCTGATGGGCACATTGAATGTTAAGGGGCACTCTGATGAGCACATTTATAATAAGGGGAGATTTACTAAAAACCGGAGCGCTCAGAATCTGGTACAGCTGCGCATGGGAGCCAATCAGCTTCTAACTTCAGCTTGTTCAATTCATCTTTGTCAATAAAACCTGGAAGCTGATTGGTTTCTATACAGAGCTGCACCAGATTCTGCACACTTCAGTCTTTGTAAATCTCCTCCATAGGCTTACATAGAGGTGCTTTAAAAAAAAAAGGCCAAACACCTGTAATAGCTGTGTTTTTTTTAATCCCAGTGATCATGAGGCCTTATGAAAGTTTACTAAAAAATGTTTGTGGTTTTCTTTGTTTCATCAACAATTCAGAGTAATAATGTTTCAAAATCTCTTCTTACCTGAGTTTCAAAAGTACAAACTATCAGAAAATCACAAGAAATTTCCAAAGAAAGTGACCACATCGCTCGGTGCCCCAGGAGTTAAATGTGTACATATACAAAGCCAAAAAGGTGGATCTAAAGGATTCATAGGACCCATTTGTTCCATGGTCTCTGTAAGGGGGCAACATCACACATGGAAATGAATATCAGCAAAGTTTATTGTAACGGCTCCTGCCATAATGAGAGGATGTGGAATGAAGGGCTAGATGTACATTACAGTGGTTCTAAAGACAGGAGGTTTTTTCTATGCATTAAAGCAGGGCTATTCAAACTTTCCAAACAAATGGCTGATTTACTGTCCTTCAGACTTATGTGGGGCTGATCTGTGGCCATTGGGAGTAGAAAAGGTCCTGACATCAGAGGGAATAGACAGTTCCCCATCTTTGGTGTCAGTGGAAAGAATTTTGCCCCATCATTGGTGTCAATGGGAGGAATTGTGCGGCATCATTGGTGTCATTGGGCCCCATCGTTGCTACCACTGGGAAGAATTGTAACCCATCATTGGTGTCATTGGGCCCCATTGTTGCTATCATTGGGAAGAATTGTACCTCATCATTGGTGTCATTGGGCCCCATCATTGCTACCATTGGGAAGAATTGTACCCCAGCATTAGTGTCATTGGGCCCCATCGTTGCTATCATTGGGAAGAATTGTACCCCATCATTGGTGTCATTGGGCCCCATGGTTGCTATCATTGGGAAGAATTGTACCCCATCATTGGTGTCATTGGGCCCCATCATTGCTATCATTGGGAATAATTGTACCCCATCATTGGTGTCATTGGGCCCCATGGTTGCTATCATTGGGAAGAATTGTACCCCATCATTGGTGTCATTGGGCCCCATCGTTGCTATCATTGGGAAGAATTGTGCCTCATCATTGGTGTCATTGGGTCCCATCGTTGCTATCATTGGGAAGAATTGTGCCTCATCATTGGTGTCATTGGGTCCCATTAATGGTGTCATTGTTAGGAATTGTGCCCCATCGTTGGTGTCCTTGGGAGGTATTCTGGTAAATAGTAAATAGGTAAATAGTGCCCCAAGGGCCAGATAAAAGCAAACAAATACACAGTCTTCAGGTAAAATCAGCAATATGTTTACATTTCAAATTTGTTTTTGAATTCGGATAATTTGGTATTTCGGAATAAAATTATGTTTTGTTATTTCGGATTTGTTTAAATTTGTTACTATTGTAATGCAGAAATTCAGGTAGATCCATATCTCCAAATAAAGAAAATGTCATCTGAGTTTAGATTCAGAACGGAACGAGCCGCGTGTGTCTAGTAGAAACTTGGTGCTTCCAGGTCTCCATACTTGCGGCAACCATTGAAAGAGAACCCTGCCGGATTTTTGATCTAATTTTTAATAAGCTGAATTTGCAAGAACATCCCAAGGTTGGGGCACACAATGAAAACCCAAAGACGAGTGAAGTCGGGAAGTATTCCAGTGAGATCTCACAGATGGATAATACAGAAATTCCCTACCACTTAGTCCAGCTCAGCGCATGCATACATCAGAAAGTCCATGTGATGTCACACTGCTGCATCGAAGTCTTACAGCTGACAGGATCCCAAGTATATGGTCACCATCAGAATCTCTGGGTAACCAATGTAACAAGTCTTATGGCCTGGATCATTGGACCTACCTTCACCATTTCTAAGTTTTCATTCTTTATGATACATCCAGGGGCAGACTGACCATTCAAGCACTGGGGCAGTGCCCGAGGGCCCGGGGTCAGTAGGGAGCCCCATGCAATGCCCCTGGTACCTTTCATTGGCTTTTTCATAGGCTTTTTTGGGTGTGGGTGAGGACATAGGGGCCCCATGATCCCCTATTGCCCGGGGGCCCCATGAGTTGTCAGTCCGCCCCTGGATACATCCACATGGACACCTTCACAAGTCTAACACACTGCTTCAATGAATGGGAACCCCTCAGGGTGGCAACACCTACTGAAAGCGACTTTCTGTTTAATTTTTGCTGTGGCATGTGTACAGGGGTGAGCGGCTGCATGTTACCCTTTAGCCGGGCGTTCAGGATAGGTCCACAACTATGCAGTTTGCATTTGATCTGTTTCTGCAGTGCTTTTTGCGGTGTGTTTTTGCACATGCATTTTTGATGCACTTTGCGTCTTTATTTTTTTGGCCAACTTGATGCTAGGCAGATTAAAAATGCAAAATGCATTAAAAAAGTGTCAAAAACGCATGAAAAAAACATGCAAATCTCAGTGCTTGAGTGTTATATGCAGTTCCATTGAAGTCTATTGGACTAAAAATGCAAACTGCCGCAGGAAAAGAAGTCCCTGACTCTTTCCAAAAAACACGCCTGCAAAAAGCGCATAGATGTGAAGGTGATCCGTAGGAAATCATGATAAATGGCAAGCACTGCGTTCATAAAAAACAAACAAACATGGTGAATGAAATGTCAATAAACCAGCCAAGGCCAGCCTAGATGAGTGCCCCCTATCAGTGTTTGTGTGTATGGGGCTGCTGTTTAACCACTTTCCCTCTGCCCTATAGCAGAAGTACTGCTACAGGGCGGAAGAGCTGCGCAAAATCACGTTTATATACATGATTTGTATTTCCAGGTGGGGGGGGGGGGGGGCGCATCGCTATGCATAAAAAAACACACAGGTGTGAACCTGGCCTGAGAGGGCAGTAAAACTCTGGCTCAGCCACCTGGTTTCTCTGGCCCCCAGCTGCACGTACTGAAGGAACAGTGAATTATGGACCTATGACAAGTGTAAGGATGAACCCTTGCAGCAGAGGCTGTTCCTGTATTGCTCCCTGACAGGTTCTGAGTGAAGACAAATAATCCCTGAATTATTTAATAATCACATTGAATTTGTTGTGGTTTTCTGACATCAAATTGTGTTCATTTACCTAATTCCCCAGATTCCTGAATTAATTAGCATCAAGACAAAATCACTTTCAAAGGAAAATGACCTCCTCATAATTTATCCACGGCAAGACTGAACGGATCTGTTTTCCAGAGAACCGAGATAAGTCTGCTCTTGTATTCAGTATAAATATTCCATACAATCTCCGAATCCACAGCACATAAAGGAGAGCCACAGGCAAAACATGTCATAGTAAACATGGAATGTGGAAACCTATATATCTGCTCTTGGTTTTAGATTTCGGATGCACCACCTGGATGGGAACTGCACCGTTCTCTGACACAGTTCAGCGGTTATATCTCCTGGGTATCAACTAGCCTTCACACACAATGCAACCCTATCTGGAATGAATAATAACAGAGACCTACCTTCAGCTGTGGGGAGCTCTCATCCTTCCATGCAGGAACCTGATGAAACCTGCAGTCATAAAAAACAAACAAACATGGTGAAGGAAATGTCAATAAAGAAGCCAAGGCCAGCCTAGATGAGTGCCCCCTATTAGTGTTTGTGTGTATGGGGGCGGCTGTTTAACCACGTTCCCTCCGCCCTATAGCAGAAGTACTGCTAGAGGGCGGCAGGGCTGCGCAAAATCACGTTTATAAACGTGATTTGTATTTCCAGGTTGTGGGGCACGCACGCCGCCCTACTCGCACCGCTGTTGGCAGCTAGAGATGTCAATCACCGGGTCTCGGATGGCGATTCCCAGCCAGCACTCAGCGATCATCGGGGAAAGCTGACGGGAAAGACCTGTATGGAAACAACACAGGTCTCTCTCCTGCCTGCTTTGTATCTCTCTACACAGCATGTTTCCCTAGTAATACGCAGCACACAACACACAGTAAAACACACACAGTTAACCCTTTGATCTCAGCAGATGTTAACCCCTTCCTTCCCAGTGCCATTAGTACAGTGTCAGTACTTTTTATTGGCACTGATCACTGTATTGGTGTCACTGGGGATGTCAATGGCAGTTAGTTAGTTTCCACCTAGTGTCAGAATACCCACCGCAGTCCCACAGTCTAATGCTTACCTGAGCCCCCTCTCGATCCAGCGATGTGCATGATAGCCTCGGCTGTCCCGGGTCTCTCTCTCCTCATTGGCTGAGACAGCAGCAGGAGCAATTGGCTCCCATTGCTGTTAATCACAGCCAGTGAGAAGAGAGCAGGCGGCGGTGCCAAGCCGCAGCTCTGTGTGTCTTTTGGACGTATAGAATGGGGCTTGGGAGCGAGCACGCACCAGTGCCTCCATACCAAGCATCAAAGGGTACTACTCAAGGGGGAGGAGCTAGGAGTGTGTCGGGAGGGGAGGATCAGGGCTGCTCTTTGCAAACCATTGCACAGAGCAGGGAAGCATAAATGTTTTTTTATTAAAAAGAAAAACATTACATTTCCATAATTATTCTACAAACAGTATGTGTACTTTATATGGGTATTCATCATTCTTGAAAGTTCTTTTACACCAGTTTTTCCATCCCATTTTTTTCTACAAACCCCAAATCAATAAAGATTTCAAATGAAAACCCCTTTGTTGGCCCCACTTTATAACAAATAATGAGTGTCTGGGTTTATTTTTTATTTCTGGTATAAAAAAATGGAGCTAGCATACCATAGACAAGCCTGATCTACTAGGTGGGAGTCCGGAGATAGATACTGGGGTGAGTTTTATTCATGAAATGTATTTTTATAGAGCCACTCTGCCCAGTAACCACATGATCAAGAATGACACTGATTGACTCGTGGCTGTTATTACAGGACCACAGCTGTCCAGTGACATAGGGAGAGATTTACTAAAACTGGAGAGTGCAAAATCTGGTGCAGCTGTGCATGCAGCCAATCAGCTTCTAACTTCAGCTTGTCCAATTAAAGTGGAGCCCCACCCAAAAGGGGAAGCTCCGCTTAAAGGCCTTGTCCCCCTCTCCCTGTTAAGGATTGGCACATTTGGGGAACAGAGGGGGGGCGGGTCACCCGATTTTGAGAGGTTCCCACTTCTGATGTGATCACCTAGGCAATGTAGTCACCCCCCCTATAGTCTTCTGGGACATGTGACAGGTCCCAGAAGACCATGGGACCATTCACAAGGTGTAGAGCTACTCAGGCATGTGGGCACCTGACGTTGAATTCGCAAGTTGTCACAGCCGGGTGTCCACAATTAAGATGCCAGCGCCGGGGAGGTGAGGACACCGCTGGATTGAGGGATAGGTGAGTGTCTGTCTTTTAAAAGTCAGGTTTTGTAGCTGCTGGCTTTTATTTTTTTTTCACATTTTGACTGGAGCTCCACTTTAAGCTTTGGCAGTAAAACGTGGAAGCTGATTGGTTTCTATACAGAGCTGCACCAGATTTTGTACCCTCCAGTTGTAGTAAATCACAGTGACTGCAATCCTCAGGTGTAGGTGTTTACTCGAAGGCCTAGACTGAGAGAAGTACAGAAATGTCTTTATGGACGGTGCTCTGCTCTGGACCTTGAAAACAATAGGACGCCGTGCCCTACGCACTGCAGATGGTGATCAGCCCCCCTCACCTAAGTAAAGTTTGAACTGAGCCATGCAGCCTGATCAAACAGTATGAGTCCAGTGTTTGCAGGGCGCTTGACTGAGGTCAGAATCGCCTGCCAGGAGCCTGAAAAGGGCGAAGTCTGAACGATCTCTAAAAATAGCGGTGTCACTGCTCTCTGCCCGGTTAGAAACATGGGTGTTCCTTCATCATGTAGACTGGATTGAAGGTGATTAGGAATTAATTATACGCAGGATCCCTTGCTTATGTCTGGCAGATATCACTGAGCATTCAGCAGCACTTGCACCATCTGGACAACGTCCAATGACTAAGTGAACTGAACTACCTGTCATAGACCGCCAAAATCTCTGTCAGGATCCCAGTGACCTCTTGTGGACTAGTTGGGTACAGATCTATGCAGTGCACACCACAACCAAACATGCCACAGGCAACCAACTAAAGTTGGAGGGTGCAAAATCAGGCTCACTTCTGCATAGAAACCAATCAGCTTCCAGGTTTTATTGCCAAAGCTTAATTGAACAAGCTGGGGTTAGAAGCTGATTGGTTTCTATGTAGAAGTGAGCTGGATTTTGCACTCTCCGGCTTTAGTAAATGAACCCCACTGTTCCATGCATGCACTAATACCGTTGTCTGCCATCTTGATTAACAGTCTCTGGACTGGCACGCGATATGTGCACCGCCTATCAGTAATAGGACACACTTCCCACTTACTACTGCATGTAGCACAGCCAATCTGCATCCCTTTTTATACCTGTAAGATTAAAAGTCCTGGTTTGACTTGAACGCCCCTCGTGAATGTCACTTGCTGGTTACACACAAAGATTTCACTTCTCAATATTGTGAATACATTTAGGGAAATTAGGAAGACTCATCTGGTATACAACAACCTGCGATCGTTCTTCCTCCCCATACTGACTGACTTAATTGCGGTTAGGCATTGTGGAAGCACTTTCCATTTGGCAGTATGTCGCTGAACGCTCGGGGCCCATTCACACGATCGCAGCACGTTGACGCGTGTTATGCCATGCATCAAAGTGTGTTGCATTAAGGCAGCCATTTCAAAATGAATGGGCTGCCAACACACCAAAACACACAAAAAATTGGTGCAGGCACCATTACTAGCAGTGCATGGCAAAGCATGCTAGTTTGTCAGTAAGGAGCATTGGGGTTTAGAGTAGAGCAAGGTACTTTGTAGAGTTTAGAGTAGAGTAAGGTACATTCAGGGGCGGAATGACCATTCAAGCACTCGGGCATTGCCGAGGGCACAGCGTCAGTAGGGGGCCCCATGAAATGCCCCTGGTACCTTTTTTAAAGGCTTTTTTTGAGTTTGGGCAAGGACACAGGGGCCCCATGATCCCCTATTGCCCAGGGGCTCCATGAGTTGTCAGTCCGCCCCTGGGTACATTGTAGAGTTTAGAGTAGAGTAAGGTACATTGCACCAAAGCATGTAACCCATATTTCCACACAGTACAGCAAAACAATACTGTGAATGGGTCCTTAGTCTGATTGCCTTGCCTTAAAAAAAAAATTTTGTTTTCAAATCTTTGCAATAGATTTTAGTCCCACTGAGCTGGACAAGAGCAAATATGGCAACAGAGTGTCAGAGCTCAAATGTTGCCCTTGTTACTAATAAGTTACATTCTTTACTGGATCTATCAAACTGTATCTAACGCCAAGATTTTTCTTCACTGTTTTCACAGTGATTTAGCCATTCTCAACCTTTTTTTTAACATGGAGGAACCATTGGAAAACCTTTCTAGTCTCATGGAACCCCTGCTAACAATTAGTGTATCTACAGCTCACTGTACATAGGCGTGATTGTCAGTGGGAAGGATGTACCTCACATTGGTGGTCTTTGGGAAGAATGTCCCTTACATTGGTGGTCTTTGGGAAGAATGTCCCTTACATTGGGGGTCAGTGGGAAGAATGTCCCTTACATTGGGGGTCAGTGGGAAGAATGTCCCTTACATTGGGGGTCAGTGGGAAGAATGTCCCTTACATTGGGGGTCAGTGGGAAGAATGTCCCTTACATTGGTGGTCAGTGGGAAGAATGTCCCTTACATTGGTGATCAGTGGGAAGAATGTCCCTTACATTGGGGGTCAGTGGGAAGAATGTCCCTTACATTGGTGCTCAGTGGGAAGAATGTCCCTTACATTGGTGATCAGTGGGAAGAATGTCCCTTACATTGGTGGTCAGTGGGAAGAATGTCCCTTACATTGGTGATCAGTGGGAAGAATGCTCCTTACATTTGTGGAGAATGGGGAAGAATTCCCTTACATTGGTGATTAGTGGGAAGAATGTCCCTTACATTGGTATATGTGGGAAGAATGTCCCTTACATTGATGGTCAGTAGGAAGAATGTCCCTTACATTGGGGGTCAGTGGGAAGAATGTCCCTTACATTGGGGGTCAGTGGGAAGAATGTCCCTTACATTGGTGGAGAATGGGGAAGAATGTCCCTTACATTGGGGGTCAGTGGGAAGAATGTCCCTTACATTGATGGTCAGTAGGAAGAATGTCCCCTTACACTGGGGGTCAGTGGAAAGAATGTCCCTTACATTGGTGGTCAGTGGGAAGAATGCTCCTTACATTGGTGGAGAGTGGGAAGAATGTTCCCCACATTGGTGGTCAGTGTGGAAAATGGAACCATGGTACCATGAAACCCTACTTAAGCAAGGCTTTTATAAGGTATGTTTTTTTTTTTTTGCTGAGTGCGCCTTGTTGTGGTGATTTCCCTTCTTAGCGACACAATGAGAAGTGAGAGGAAATATCTATTAAAAGAAAGAAAACCCTGTGTAGTTTTCACAGCAACCAATGTCCCCATTACATTCTGCACCAGAGATGATGGCCACCAGGACAAAGAGAAGGGTGAATCTCCCCAGAAAAGACACAAGCAGCAATAAAAAACTGACAAGAGTTCTGATACTTCTGCTATCCATCCATAACTGAAAAAGAAGTTTTGGCTTCACATAAACTTTAAATGGAGATCTCCTGCAAATCCCCTCCTGGGGTTCTATGGGGAATGAGAAGAAGTTGATGTACTGGGAGATCTGCAGATCCTCTCCTGGTGTTCTATGGGGAATGAGAAATTGATGTAACGGATCTCTGATGTTCTATACAGAATAACAAAAAGTTGATTACTAGATCTCCCACAGGTCTCTGGTCTTCTATGAGGAATGAGAAGTTAATGTCTTGTGAGATCTCCGAACGATCCTCTCATGTGTTCTCTGGGGAACAAGAAGACGCTGATGTAGGGATATCTCACACAGATCTCTGATGTTCCATGAGGAATGAGAAGACAATAATGTAGGGATATCTCCCCCAGATCCCTGGTGTTCTATGGGGAATGAGAAGTTGATTTACAGGGTGATCTCCTGCAGATCCCTGGTGTTCTATGTGAAATAAGAAGTTGAACTGGGAGATCTCCCACAGATCCTTCTTGGTGTTCTATGAGAAATGAGAAGAACTTGATGAACTGGGAGATTTCCCACAGATCCTTCTCAGCATTCTATGGGGAATGATAATTGAGGGAGATCTCCCACAGATCTCTGGTGTTCTATGATGAATGGTGAGAAATTGATGTACTGGGAGATTTTCAGTATACCCAGTACTCCCACAGATCCTTCCCGGTGTTCTATGGGGAATGAGAAGTTGATGTAGGGAGAGTTCCCACAGATCTCCAGTGTTCTATGGGAAATGAGAAGATGTTGATGTCCTGTGAGATCTTCCGAATATCCTCTCATGTGTTCTCTGGGGAAAAAGAAGATGTTGATGTTGGGATATCTCCCCCAGATCCCTGGTGAGAAGTTGATGTACTGGGAGATCTCCCACAGATGTCTGGTGTTCTATGCAGAATGAGAAGAAGTTGATCTACTGGGGGGAGATCTCCTACAGATCTCTGGTGTTCTTAGGGGAATGAGAAGATGTTGATGTACTGGGAGATCTCCCACAGATTCTTATCAGTGTTCTATGGGGAATGAGAAGAAGTTGATGTCCTGTGAGATCTTCCGAAGATCCTCTCATGTGTTCTCTGGGGAACAAAAAGACATTGATGTAGGGATATCTCCCACAGATCTCTGATGTTCTATGAGGAATGAGAAGAAATTAATGTAGGGATATCTCCCCCAGATACCTGGTGTTCTATGGGGAGGGAAGAAGTTGATGAACTGGGAGATCTCCTACAGATCCTTCTCAGTGTTCTATGGGGAATGGGAAGAAGTTGATGAACTGGGAGATCTCCCACAGATCCTTCTCGGTGTTCTATGGGGAATGAGAAGTTGATGTAGGGAGATCTCGCACAAATCTCTGGTGTTCTATGATGAATGGGAAGAAGTTGATGTATTGGAAGATTTCCAGTAGATCCTCTTCAGTGTTCACTGGGGAACGAGAAGACATTGATTTAGGTAGATCGCCCACAGATCCTCTCCTGGGGTTCTATGGGGAATGAGAAGAAGATGATATACTGGGAGATCTGCAGATCCTCTCCTGGTGTTCTATGGGGCATGAGAAATTGATGTAGGGAGATTTCCCACAGATCTCTGATGTTCTATACAGAATAACAAAAAGTTGATTACTAGGAGATCTCCCACAGGTCTCTGGTCTTCTATGAGGAATGGGAAGAAGTTGGTGTACTGGGAGATCTCCCCCTGATGCTCTCTTGGTGTTCTCTGGGGAATGAGAAGATGCTGATCTAGGGATGTCTCCCACAGATCTCCAATGTTCTATAGGAAAAAGATTATGTTGATGTACTGGGAGATCTCCCACAGATCCTCTCATGTGTTCTCTGGGGAACAAGAAGACGCTGATGTAGGGATATCTCACACAGATCTCTGATGTTCCATGAGGAATGAGAAGACATTAATGTAGGGATATCTCTCCCAGATACCTGGTGTTCTATGGGGAATGAGAAGTTGATGTACTGGGAGATCTCCCACAGATCTCCGATGTTCTATGATGAATGGGAAGAAGTTGATGTACTGGTAGATTTCCAGTAGATCCTCTTCTGTGTTCTTTGGGGAACGAGAAGACGTTGATTTAGGTAGATCTCCCACAGATCCTCTCCTGGGGTTCTGAGGGCAAAAAGAAAAAGCTGATGTTCTGGGAGATTTCCTGAAGATTTTCTCCATTGTTCTATCGGGAACGAAAACATGTTTATGTAAGCAGATCTCCCGCAGATCCCTGGTGTTTTATGATGAATGAAAAGAAGTTGATGTACTAGGAGATCTCCCCCAGATCCTCTCCTGTTGCTCAGAGAAAATTGGCTGAAAAATACAGCCTTCAGGGCAATCGTTCGACAATCTGATCACTGCATCAGTTTTTCGAGAGCCAATCATGTATTGTATTGTATTGTATTTTTGGACAACTACTGATTAAACGAAAATCGTACGATCTTGTATCGCATGATAAATATTTTTGCGCTTGTCCCTTGGGCTATTGTCGCAATCGTCTCTCAAAAGCTGTACACGAACGGTCAGATTATTGGACGATCGGTCCTCGTATGAATATTTTTGTACGATTTTCTTATCGTGTGTACGGGCCTTAAACCTGGTACACGATGAGAATATCGGATTAACAATATATTTTTTTTTTTGTATACTAGTCCCATATTGAAATGAAGAGGTTACTAAAGTTACGAAAATTCTGGTAGGACAGAATACAACTTTTGATATGATGTCATGTGTCGTCTTGTAATGTATTCTTTCGTTTCTGACCATGCGTGGTCTTGCTCTTCCGATTTTTTTCGGACAAATACTGTACTAATGGGATGAAAACCATTTGATCTGGTATCATATGCGAAAATGTTTCGTGTTTGTCCCTTTTGGACGACATTTTTCGTCTGATTTTCTGATGGTGTGTAGGAGGTTTTAAGAAGAGTGAAAAAGAAGTCGATGTTCAGGAAGAGGACAAGTCTACAACCGATGAACGGAGCCCTCTGCCTGACAGCTGAGGTAGCGGCCGATGACGTCTCCGGTTTCCACGGAGACGGCAGAACACATGGTGACGTCACATTGGGTATTTAAACGTGTTCCCAGGAGTGTTCCGGCAGATCAGGCTGAGCCTCGCCTCCTCCATGAATCGGCTGTTGACCTGGGAGCCGCCAGGATGTGCCCCCGCTAGAGCCATGGAAGCTGCCAACTTCTACTACGAGCCGCTGGGCAGCGTCGAGTGTCTGGGGGCCAAGGCTCAGCGCCGGGGGCCCCGGCCGGAGACGGGCAACATCGGCGAGCACGAGCGGGCGATCGACTTCAGCCCTTACCTGGAGGCCGAGTGCGGGGAGTTCATGTGCGAGCTGGGGGGCCCACACTACAAGCCGGGGCCCCTGCTCTACCCCAAGATGGAGGAGTCCCCGGCCATCCGACCTTTCCTGCCCTTCCACGCCGTCCCCTCCGGCAGCAGCGGCAACCTGAGCAGCGCCTCCTCCTGCAGCCCCCCGGGCACCCCCAGCCCAGCGCCCAAGACGGGCGCCAACAGCGCCAAGCACAAGAAGTCTCTGGACAAGCACAGCGACGAGTACAAAGTTCGCCGGGAGCGCGAAACAACATCGCGGTGCGAAAGAGCCGGGACAAAGCCAAGATCCGCAACATGGAGACCCAGCACAAGGTCCTGGAACTCACCGCCGAGAACGAGAGGCTACAGAAGAGGGTGGAGCAGCTGAGCCGGGAGCTCACTACCCTCCGCAACCTCTTCAAACAGCTGCCCCCAGAGGCCACGGGGAGGTGCTAGGGGCCACAGAGGGGTAGACCTGGAGGAGAACAGTATGCCACCCCTATGGGCACAGAGATTGACACCTCTACTAGAACACCAGAGGGGGGCAAGAGACTGGCATAACCCCCCAAATACCGGGGGGCAAGAGACTGGCATCACCTCCCTAAAAACAGGGGGGCAAGAGACTGGCATCACCCCCCAATACCAGGAGGCAAGAGACTGGCATCACCCCCCTAATACGGGGGGAGCAAGAGACTGGCATCACCCCCCCCTAATACCAAGGGGGCAAGTAACTGGATTGAGAGACTGGCACCTTCCTCTTAACACCACGGGGGTATGTAGACTGACTAGCACTCTCTTCCTCTAATGCCAACCCTTCTTACACCATAGGGGCAAGAGACTGAATTCCCCCTACCAATATCAGGGGGGCAAGAGACTGGCATCACCCCTCTAATACCAAGAGACTGATATCACCCCCCTAATAGGGGGGGGGGGCAAGACTGGATCCCCCACACACACTATAACCAGGGGGGCAAGAGACTAGCACCCTACTCTTGACACCACAGGGATTATGTAGAATGGCTATCACCCTCTTCTAATGCCAACCCCCAACCCTTCGTACACCATAGGGGGAAGAGCCTGAATTCACCCTACCAATACCAGGGGGGCAAGACTGGATTCCTCCAGGGGGTAAGAGACTGGCATCACCGTCCTAACATCAGGGGAGCAGGAGACTGGATTCCTCCTATCAAAACCATGGGGTATAAAGGGACTGGCAGCACCCTCCTAATACCATGGGGGGAGAATAGACTGGCATCATCCT